ATGATGGCTTGTTTGTAAAGCCCATAGAGTTCTTTCAGTTCTTCATCATCTGGTCTTGCTTTCAGCTTTCGCACATCTTCTGCAGCTCTGTCAAAATCAGCCTAAAGGCAAAAAAAAGGGGGGGGGGGCACGCAGTGCCATTTGCTGACTTTAGGCAGACCTACCATAATCTGGGGGCATTTAAAAGGAGAAGGAAGAAGTTTGCAAATAGAAATAAATTATTACTGCTCTGGTTCTACCAGAAATGTCCTACTTTATTTGAGCAGCTTTCTTGATCACCCTGTGGACACGACCTTCCTCCTCTTCCTAAATCCATACGTTCCTACAGGCAGGGGCTTTGCTACCAGTTAATACCATTGTCCAGGGCATTTCTTTTCCAGTGTCCCAATGCCCACACTACTCACCACCACTATTATTTATACTTATTGAGTGGACTAGCTAGTTTCTAAGGGCAATAAATATTCCTGATTTAGCTGCACCAAAACTGAAAATGATTTATTTCGATTGATTTCCAGAAAAGAGAAGTTGTTTAGCCAACTTAGAGCTGATTAGCAAAACTGTAGTATGTACAAACATACTTACTGCTTATTTGAGTAATAAGTATATTTGTATACTTCCAGGAAACTTTGTATACAAATATACTTGAGTAGTAAGCCTTGTCCTGAGTTAACTCTGAAAACCCTGACTGAATCTCCTAACTCCCCAAGACCCTCAGGCTGGGCCTGGGCTCTCAGTCAGTAGCCATGACCTTGGCATATTTCATTCAAGACAGAGAAGTCCAGCTCTGCATCCTCTGGAGAATGGCACACCTAGACACGTTATCCCTTTTCCCTTTTAACCTCTTATTTCATACTATACAAAGGGCTGCAGTGATTATTTTTCTTAATAGAATTGTTTTATTCTTTTAAAAAGTAAACTGTATTTTACATTGTGCTGTTTTAAATTGGGAATAAGCAGAAACTGTCTGAGTTTCAGATGAAAGCAGTTCAATGAGGCATCCTAGCCCCACCTCCCATATTTCTTTCTCCAATGCCAGAGCTCCCTTTTGATCCAAGGGCCTAGGAGAGAAAGTGGATAGCCACAATGCAACCTCAGAATGCCCGTGGTCTCAGCAGAGTTGCTGGGTAAAGTTTCCATCCAGGCCCAAAGACAGGACTGTAGCACAACTAGAGCAGTTGTTTCATGATGAACAAAACTCATCTGTAAATTGAAGAACAGGCTCTCTAACCTAAATAATGTTGAAAATGGCCCAACCTCCTAATCAATTCCAACAGGGAATTGAGAAGGATGGCTGCATGTGACAAGGGGTACCTTGTCTTTCTTTCTAGGAAATTGTCAACTGCTTTATACATAATGTCATAGTTAAAGACACAGGTTCTGGAGCTAGACTGCCTTGGTCTGAATCTCAGCTTTATCACTTAAGAGCTGTGTGACCTTGGACAAGTCACTTAATCTCTCTGTGTGTATTTCCTCTTTTGGAATATGAAACAATAATACCTATTCATAAGGTTGTTAGGAGGATTTAAATAAATTAACATATGTAAGTACTTTAAATAATCTCTGGCACATGATGAATGTTCAATAAAGGTTAACTATTATTTTTAGTATAAGGCTCTTTGGAGAGAAAACACTCGTTCTAGAAAAACTGAAATAAATACTTGCAATGAAGCAAAACTTGAAAAATACTTTTAGATTATGGTTTAACAAAGAAGACAAAATTGTTTATATACACTCAACTTTATAAGTTGTGTAGAAAGAATAGACTAGAAAGAAATATACAACCTAAAATATGTAAACAGTAATTGCCTCTGATTATTGATAAGTTTTTTTGTTTTAATATTTTCTATACTCTCCAAATTTTCTACCATGTGCATGTATTGTATTTATAATAAGAACAAAATTAAAATGCTACATGAGTGGCCAGGGCTCCCTAAGCACAAGGCAGGCAAGGTAATTCAGAAAGAGGTGTGGGGATCTTCCTCTTCAGGTTCACCGGCCATCTCCGATGTTCTGGTGGCTGTAAAGTCTCATGCCACTTTCAATGACAGCAACTCAATTCCTTTGGCAAGCAAAGCTTTGATTAGAATTCTAAGTCTTCTCAAAAGCCATACGAAGTCCCTGTCTTCCAGGAAGAAGTTTCTGGCAAACTGTTCGTCCTATTTTGGGGGGTATGAAATCATATAAAGAACTAATGAAAGTCTTGGGCCCTTTCCAAAGGAGGACTAAGCCCCTGATACAATTTCCCACACCATTCCAGCAGTCCCTGTCCTTCCTCCGTCCCCACGTAGGGAACCTGGTTCCAGAGCAGTGCCTGGCATCATTCTCTCTGTCCAGTCTGCCCTTTCCTGGCGCCTTGACTCTATCCTTTCCTGCTTTAAGGTGCTGTTCCGATGTCCCTCCTCCCTGAGGTCCTTTCCACCCCAACCATGATGAACTGTGATAGAAAGAACACTGGCCTTTCAATGGGATACTCAGGTTTGAATTCTAGCTTTGAGCCGCACTACATGCAACTCCGTGCAAGAAACAAAGCTCCTCTAAGATGCAGCTTCAGCCAGAAAAGAAGATAATATCCATCTCAGTGGGAAGGTGTAAGATTAAACGATTAAGAATGCAAATATTCTCGATTTGCTTCTGTGGAGCCTGCCCTCCCAGAGCTCATTGCAGGCAGCATTCTACAGTAATTAACAAAAGTACTGAACACTTATGACGGGCCAGGCCTTTGCTAGGCAGGCAGGGATGCACAGGGCAGCCCGCCTGATGGAGCTGAGTCCAGTGGGAGAGGAGTAGCTCAACAGTGACCCCGTGAGACCTGCTGTAGAGGAGAAGCAGCC